GGTGCATTGAGGCGCCCTTTATGGTGCTTATATTATTTTGTTCATGTTTTTATGATATGGAATTGATATGATATTTTGTAGGTATGGAGTGTCCATTGTAATGGGCAAAGGCAGTCAATAAACTCTAAAAACCAAGTGAGACGTAGAAGATGNGGGGGGGGGGGGGGGGGTTTCATCCTCTGAAACAACCCCCAGATTTGTTGTTTCCGTCACCATAAATCCCGGGATGCCAAATTTGATGCAAACCCATCGGTAAATGTCACAAATGCTAACTTTCCGCCATTTAGAAATCCACAAGTTAGAAGAAGATTAGCTCCTCTGAATATAATCTCTTCACTTTCTGAAGAAAGAAACCATCGGAAACTGAGTTACAGATGAATCCACTGTGAAACAGCTGAAATGTCCATTTCGTGACATCTCGAAAGATAAAAGATGGCGACTCACGGCTTACGTCAAAAAAAGTTTTCTTTCTATCCTCTTTCGAACAGGGCATCGTAAAAGGGATGGTTGACATTTGAATAAAAAAAGTTGGGAGGTGCCTCCTCCCCCCCCCCCCCCCCCCCCGTTGGGACTCACTTTTTTTAATCGACAAAGCCAAATGTTGGACGGTCAAAAGGATTTTGAAAAAAAAAAATATGTAACCCGGCGCGCACAGAGCCTAAAGATTGTTATTTTTCATATGTTTTTGGCATTTTAACCGTCTAGGGATTTGACGCTAGTTGTTCAAAAAGTGGTCCAAACTTAGCACACACCTTGTAGATTAGGGGGCATTTTTTGTTTTTCTCCTAGGTCACTCTCACTTAGCTTGGTAACGCCCAACGTTCCGCTCGGCAGTACTATAAATCGAAATTTCAACGTTTTTGAACGTATAATGAACTTTATGGGCAGCCTATAATGGTAGTAAAAATTCGAAAATTTGTGGAAAGCGAGTCCATACCGTCAGTATGGAAGGGAAAATTTCAGAAAACTCCTTGGTCTTTTAGCTCAAGCGATGCCCACAATGGAGGGAACCCCGTCAAAAATAGCTCAATTTTGACCGTTTTCCCCCTTCCGAAAATCAATTGGACACCCTGTAATGACAATTCAGGTCCAATAATTTGTGGAACGTAAGTTCATACCGTCTCAATGCATTAAAAAATTTTACTTAGTTCCTACGTCTTACATTAGGGTGTCCCAATTATACACAGCAAAATTAATTTTGCGAATTTTTTTGATCTTACCCCTTAGAACTGTTCCATTTGATCAAAACACACTCTCTGACATGTTTCAGCCAAATCAGACAATATTAAACCGTGCCGACAAAGCCATCTTTTTTCATAAGAGATTTTACATTGAAAAGCACTTTTTTCCAGAATAATCCAATTTTCGAAAAATGTGTAATTTCTAGAAAAAATCTGAGGTCATATTTGGCTTCAGCAGGAAAAATTAAGTGGGAAAACATGTTTTGGACACTCCAAAACAATTTTTTTACCCCTCGTTACAGCGGTGAAACAGGTGAAACATCTAGAAAACGCTAAAAAAGGGTAAAATGACGGTGATAAATCCCAAATAATTACGTACGTCTGATGTACGCGCTGAGTACTAACTCAGCGACCCTCAAGAATACCTAAAAATGTATTTTGCACGGTTTGGACATAAAATCTGATTCATTAACACCCAAATCCGGCCTTGAAACCTTATTTTGGCGCGCGAAAGTCGGTCGGCGCGTGTTAAGCAGAAACTTTAATCCCTCATAACTCCGGAACTGTTCGGTTCCCCAGCTTATATGACCACTCGTCAGATGCGGAAAAAGACGAACAATTTAAAAAATGGTTTTGGTTCAAATAAAAAATAGAGAGCTTTGTGTATCTTTCGTTTAAAAGAAATTTTCCTGATTCCATAACTGAAAAAAAGCACGTATGTTGTTTTGAAAATGTGATTTCCGAATTTTGACCTTTGGAATCTTAAAGTATGCAATTTTAGACGATTTTTCGTCCAAACCGGACCTAGATATCTCTATTCGTTTGAGAGATATCGAGGTTCGCAGGTTTTAACTTCCACCCCCACCCCCCCTAGCGCCCCTCCCCCCCTCCCAAAAAAAATTTTTTTTGGGGGGATCTGAAAATTTGGGAAAAGAAAGGCTCAAGTATGAGGAATCGATGAACGAAGTTTGAAGGAATTCTAGAGGGGGGCGAAAAAAGCAGTTTTTGCATCAAGTTCTTTACTCAATTTTGCTCACTTTTTCGCCACTGTCCACAATATACATACAACACTATATGTTTTATTCAGGAGTATACAATTTGTGTTCTTATGTTTTTTTGTCGCTGAGTTAAGAAATGACCTTGTTTCATCCTCGAAATTCACAAGTTTTCCAGGGTATTCAGTTTTCCCTGGAAAATTACCTTTTGTGCAGGAAGAATTTAGTTTTTCAGAAAATTTTAGTGGAACAGAGGGAAACGGTCATGATTTTCGAATTCACCGTTAAAAAACACATCAAAAACATCTATTACAAGTCGATGGTCCATTTCCTAAAAATTAAGTTTTCCCCGGAAAACCCTGTTTCCGCGAGAAAATCGATTTGCCGGAAAATCCCGATATAATGGAGCAACTTTGACATCATTTTCGGACTCAGCGTTGAAAAACACATTTAAAACATCCGTCACATGTTGAGGTTTATTTCCTGAAAATTGAGTTTTCCCCGGAAAACCCTCTTTTTATACAAGTAAATCGATTTTTCAGAAAATTCTGATAGCATGAAGGAAAATGGATAGAATTTTAGGACTCAGCGTGAAAAAGTACGTATGAGACACCTATTTTATGTTGAGCTTCGTTTTCGGATGCAGACGTACGCAATTATTTTGGATTTATCACCGTCATTTTACCCTTTTTTAGCGTTTTCTAGATGTTTCAGTCGTTTCGCCGCTGTATCGAGGGGTAAAAAAATTGTTTTGGAGTGTCCAACACATGTTTCCCCACTCAATTTTTCCTGCTGAAGCCAAATATGATCTCAGATTTTTCTAGAAATTACACATTTTTCGAAAATTGGATTATTCTGGAAAAAAGTGTTTTTCAATGTAAAATCCCTTGTATAAAAGATGGCTCTGTTGGCACGGGTTAATATTATCTGATTTGGCTGAAACATGTCAGAGAGTGTGTTTTGATCAAATGGAACAGTTCTAGGGGATTAGATCGAAAAAATTTCGACATCGCCAAATTTGGGCCACCCTAGTCTTACATTCCTTGTCCTGCCAGGGTGTCCATCTTTCCGTAAAGTCCGGAAAGTCCGAAAAAAGTACGCATTTTTTAAGGTCGGTCCGTAAGTACCTTAATCGTACGTAAATTTCCCGGAAGGTCCGGAATTTTTCGTATTTTGCGTTGCGCGTTCAGTTCGATTGCCTGATAGTTATGCTACCCTCTGTGCATTGGCCGTCTGGTGTATTAGTACAATGTCAGCCTCGAAAAGCGCGGTTGCTGTAGAGGAGCGGAACAAGGCATTTCCCTCGATTTGATGGAAACAGCCGTAAAGGCCACGGGAATAGCCGGAGTAAAGCGCGTGGCAGTGCCAAAATCGAAGAATTGCGATACGTCGCGAGAAGGTACTTTAAAAGTACTTAATTTTTGCCTTAAGTACCTAAAAAGTACTGAAAAAGTACTTATTTTATTTTTGTGGACCTCAGTAGACACCCTGTCCTGCGATATCCGAAATGGCAGCGAAAATATCAATATTACCTCAACTTGGCCGTTTTTGGAATTTTTTCGGAACACCTCGTAGTGACTGTGGAGGTCCGAGAATTTGTGCCAAGTAAGTTCACAGACTATGTAAGGAGCAAAAAATCTTCTTGGTTCCTATGTCTTACATTCCTGTCTTGCATTCCATTGTGCGGTGCCCTCAATCACTTCGAAAACGTCACAAATACCTCAATTCGACCGTTTCTTCAATTGCAAAATTTATTAGACCATTCTGTAACGACACTTGAAGTTCTAAAATTGGTGAAAAGCAAGTTGTTACCACCAGTCCATTGCAACAACCACATCAGTTGCAAGGATCTTTGAAAAATTGCCGTTCCTTTCTGATGTACATACAACGTACATTTGCTTGCTACAAGAGTCGCTGGTTTCTGAACTGGGTTCCAAAAAAAATTCACACGCGAAAAATTGGCCGAACTTACGTATTTTTGACGTTTTCGATGTGATTGCATGCACTGCATAACTAAGAATGCAACGTTAGGAACGAAGTAGAATTTTTTATTGCATGAAGATGGAATGAATTTAAGTTCAGCAAAGCCCTCGACTTCCACTGTTATTCCAGGGTGTCTATTTAATTTCGAGAGGGAAAGACTGGTCAAAATGGAAGAATTTCAAGATTTTTGTGTATCTGGAAACACCGCAGGACAAAAAATCAAACATCAATGGATCTTTTGGAATTCGCCCTGCCATACTAGTGGTATGGATTTTCGAACCTCCAGTGTCATCACAGGGTGTTTTAATAAATTGCGCAATTGAAGAAACGGCCGAATTGAGGTATTTTTGACGTTTTTGGAGTGATTGCGGGCACTGCACAATGAGGAATGTAAGACATGGGAACCAAGTAGATTTTTTTATTCCTTACGGAGTGTATGAACTTACTTTACACAGTTCTCGGACCTCCACTGTTGTTACAAGGTATTCCAAAATATTTCCAAATATGGCCGAACTGAGGTAATTTTGATATTTTCGCTGCCATTTCGGGTATCGCAGAACGAGGAATGTAAGACGTAGGAAGCAAGTAAAATTTTTTATTCCATATATACGGTTGAACTTATTTTCCACAAATTTTTGGACCTTAATTGTCATCACAGGGTGTCCAATTAATTTTCGAAAGGAGAAAAACGGTCAAAATTGAGCTATTTTTTATGGGTTTCCCGCCATTGTAGGCACGCTTGGCAGAAAATAAAAGACCAAGGAGTTTTCTGAGATTTGCCCTTCCATACTGACGGTATAGACTTGCTTTCCAAAAATTTTTGAATTTTTACTACTATTACAGGCTGCCCAAAAAGTTCATTTTACGTTCAAAATCGGTGCAATTTCGATTTTTAGAACTGCCGAGCGGAATGTTTGGGCGTTACCACGCTACTAAAGAGTGACCTAGGAGAAAAACACAAATATTCCCTTAATCTACAAGGTATGAGTTAGGTTTTTAACAATTTTTAAACAACTAGCGTCAAATCCCTACTACTAACTAAAATATCAAAAACATCTGAAAAATAACTATCTTTAGGCTCTGTGCGCGCCGGGTTAAATATTTTTTTTCAAAATCCTTTTGGCAACCATGTTTTTTTGGTATCACATAGAACCATGTAAGACCGTGCAACATTTGGTTTTGGCGATTTAAAAAAATAAGTCCCACCCTAGCGCCCCTCCCCAAATTTTGAATGTGCCAATTGCAGTTTTCTTTGATCTAGATACATTCCCCTAGTTTCGTCTCAATAGCTTATTGAGGGAAACTCTTTGAAGGGGGGGGGGGGGTACTAACTATTGAAACATCCTTAATAATTGTCCAAATTTTAATGGAATGCCACTCAAACCTTTGGGAATCTCTTAATCCTTTCAGAGGCTCGTGAGACTGTGCAACATTTGGTTTTGTCGATTTAAAAAAACAAATCCTACCCTACCCCTCCCCCAACCCTCTCAAAAATTTTCGTCTTAAAATTGGACCTATATGTGAAAACGCAATTGAGGACATTGCACCAAGAACAACCTATAACTGGAAACCGCGTTTTGAGAAAAACGCATTTAAAGTTTTGTTTTTGATGTACTGCGCAGACTTTTCTATGCAGGTACCCTGTTTTGGTGTTTTTGGGTGACCTAACCCTTCTACTGAAGGATGCCGGGTAGATTTTGCGATACATTTTGGGTTTACACTCTAATATAGTTAATTTAAAAAAGCGGTTTATAGGTCGTTATTACGTCCAACAGTCATTTTGGTGGCAATATGCATTATAAATCATTTTAATCACGCATGATTAACGCAAAATAAAAGAATATCGATGGTGAGTATAGAGAGGGGTAACTAGCACATTATAGGCCCTTAAATTTATAGGCCCGTATTACGCCCAACAGTCATTTTGGTGGCAAAATGCGAAGTATACATTTTTGGAGGAAAGGATAGTTTGAGAAGAGAATAAATTATTTCAATAGCTCGTTTTTCTGAAATAAAAACAAATCTTTATAAAATGAGATCAAAAAATCGAGCCATCACTATCGCCGCGCCGCGCCGATGCCCGCTAACCGAGAATGATAAGGCCGCGCGTATAGGTCGTTCTTGCACCCATCGATCCAGAGGCCTGA